ATGTTTGTTTTGAATGAAAATGGTTAGGACAAGTAGGGAAAGTCTCTAATTCAAAGGTAGTCGAGTTCGAGCTGATCCGAGCTTGAACTTCTGAGCTCAAGCTAAAGTCTCTAATTCAAATCGAGCTTGAGTTAGATGACACCTCGACCACTAAGGGAGACCTCGTCTCAGCACCTCAGCCTCCGAGGGAGATCTCGGCTCAGCACCTCAACAACTGAGGGAGACCTCAGCCTGGCACCTTGTCAAATAAGGGAGACCTTAGCTTGACACGTCACCTGCTAGGGAAACCTCAACTCAACATTTCAGCAGCTGATGATGACCTCGGTTTGGCACCTCGACAATTGAGGGAGAGCTTGGTTGCTTGAGAGACCTACAATCAAAAGTAGCTGAGCTCGAACTTCTGAGCTTTTGACTCGAGCCATGCTTGAGCTGGAGCTCAAATCTCTAATTTGAATCGAGCTCAAGCCTGATTATGAGCGAGCCCTTGCAACGCAGGGCCCCCTTCGCTAATATATTATATTATTATGGAATGGGTGCTTTCCCATTCAGAAAACGAAATCTATTCGTACGAGTAGATTAAGGGTCTCACGTGCAAATATTTCATGCGTGTATCTATTGCATGATACACATGTGTCCCGATTTCTTTCTCATTTCTACTTTTTGAGATGCTTTTTCCAAGTTCCATGCGAGTCCCTCTCGAGCTCCTTGGCCAGTTGGCCTTTCGATTTTCCCTACTGTTGCGAAGGGAAAACGAAGGAGGCCTTCTCGAAGGCTTCACAAACTGCTTCTCCCTCTTGAGCTCTTGAGTTCTGGAAGCAACAGGGACAAGCAGCGACGGTGCGGCAGTTTGGCCTTCTCCACTCAATTTTAGGGAGTCGAACACTGTTCATCTTCTCCACTTGAACCAATGACGATGCCCTTCCTTCACTGATCTCTCTCTTCCTATCCGATTCTTCTTCTTCTTCTTCGTCTTCTTCTTTCCCCCTCCCCTATTTTTGTTTCTTCTCAACTACCGCCATTGCAACTCTCAACAGTGGCGGTTTGGCCTCCCCATCTTCCACTTCTCTGATTCCCTCTCTCCGTCTTCTTCTACCAACTATCATTTTATTCCTCTCCCTTCTCGATGAAACCTGCTCAAACCAGACCTGTTCATCGTCGTCTACCTCTTGACATGAACAAAGCAATAGCATCCTTATCTATGTCTCTCCGTTACCCCATCCATATTGCCCAGCCGACCACCGCTTTCTCTCTCAATTGTTCCTTCCAATGTTGTTCGAAGGAACAACTTGTTGTTCGAGTTTGTACCTCCCCTACCCTCCCCTCTAAAGTTTCTTTGTTGCGTCCCTTTTCCTCTTCTCATCTCCATGTTGAAAACCTCACCGAAAAAACCCTTTCTCTCTATCTCTCCTCGTCTCTTGACTCTCTTCCTATTCGCTTTCCCTCTTTTCATCTCCTTGCTAGAAATCTCATCAGAAAACCCCTTTTTGTCTGTCTCTCTCCTCATCTCTTCCTAATCCCTTTCCTTCTTTTCATGGTTGTATTTTCTAGAGTTTTCTCTCTTTTGCTTTTTTTTCTTTCAAATTACAAGAATGCCACTCTCTCCTACCAACTCTCTCTCTCTTGCTTTTTTTCTTTCAAATTACAAGAATGCCACTCTCTCTCCTACCAACTCCCTCCCTCTCTTCTTCTTATAAATTACATGCCATCTCTCTATCTCTCTCCTTATAAATTACAAGAATGCTGCTTCTCTCTAATTGAGGGAGACCTCAACTTGGCATCTTGACTGCTAGGGGACCAGCAATCAAAGGTAGTCGAGTTCGAGCTGAGCCAATCTCAAACTTCTGAGCTCAAGCTCAAGTTTCTAATTCAAATCGAGCTCGAGTTTGACAACACCTCAACCACTAAGGGAGACCTCGGCTTGACACCTCAGCCATTGAGGGAGATCTCGGCTTAGCACCTCAACAACTGAGGGAGACCTCAGCTCGACACCTTGCCTACTAGGGAAACCTCAGCTCAACACTTCAGCAGTTGAGAGAGACCTCGGTTTGGCACCACGACAATTGAGGGAGACCTCGGTTGCTTGAGAGGCGTACAATCAAAAGTAGCTGAGATTGAACTTCTGAGCTTTTGACTCGAGCCAAGCTCGAGATCGAGCTCAAGTCTCTAATTCGAATCGAGCTCGAGCCTGATAGTTTATGAGCAAGTCCTTGCAATGCAGGGCCCCATCCACTAGTTATATTTGAAATAAAAAAAGTGTGGTGATTTGGCACAGAACACTCACATAAGTGTTTAACACTATTAGTGAATATATAGGACAATAGAAGAGGGACACCTTAAAAAAATAGTAAAACAATAAAAATGGTCCTCCAACACCTCTACCATATAATCCAATGTAAAAATGAATCAAATCAAATACATTATTTAATGAAGTGAAGTCAAAATGCATATGCAACACTTAAATCAAATGAAGCAAAAAAAGGTAAATGCAATAACTAGGTTCCAAATGCCACTTTAATCCTGGTGAACATGGTGGGGCTGACCTAAGGTTTACTTAGGTTTCTATTTTCATAGAGACACTAGCCTTTACTTAGTTTTCAGTTCTAAAGTTTAGATATGTTCCAGTTTATTAAAACTCACAAGCTTCCCACTCACAAGCTTTAGTATGTGAATTGAATATTCATCATATCTATTCTGTGTTCATTTCGTTTCCAAACAATTTTGCTATTCCTAGTATCCAAAATTGCTATATAGGTTGTGATGAGGGGTGATTTGGCACGACCTAACAGGAAGGGGACATGTAGGCGCGATCTGATTAAAGGATGACAACTTAGGCAAGCAAGCCCAGTTCGCAATATTCGTAGTCGGGTACCCAGCCACCTCGGCGTAGAGGCACCTCGGGTATCCAGTCCAGTTCGGGACTGAAGAATCAAAGTTCCAGCTCGGAGCTAATGGGTCAAAGCGTCGTTTGACCAACTCCGATGGCCTTCCCAACAGATCCCGAATCTCTTGGGATCACGATGAGCCAACAGATTCCGAATCTCCCGAGGTCACGATAAGAACTCATCCCGATTCCGCCTGAATCGGAGCTGGACGATAAGCCTCATCCATGTACCGCCCTCCTCCAAAAGCGGAACCAACCTTATCTCTGCAGCCCGGAGAACCCGAAGCTCTTTCGTGAAACCCACGGCTACTCCGGTATATAAAGACTCAAAATCTGAAGGCAAAGGTACGCATGATTACTCTACTCTCTAGCACTCAAGCTCTCAAGGATTCAGCTCGCATTTATAGCATACTTACCGACTTAAGCATCAGAGCGACCTCGCCGAGTTAGCTACCCCGGCTTCTCTGATAGACTGTTTTGCTGATCGATCCAGCTCGCCGTCCATATGGAGTCCGGATCACCCTCCAACTAGGAGTAGTTAGATCGCGCACCATCAGGTTGCATTCTTAGCCTGCCCAACTCAAATTGGAAATAATTAGAGGTGCAAGTTTGGTGGGCAGTGGGCAGGGTCAGGTTTAAGCTCAATCTAGGCTTAACCCTAAAAATTGGGCCTAAGGCCCAAGCTTGAGTTTAAGCTCAACCTTTTAACCAGACCCAACTTACATTAAAATTTGAATATTTGAGTTTGATTCAAGTCTAAACTAGGCTTTGATTGTTCAATCAAAACACATTAAAATTTAGCACAAATGTATGCATGTATGCATGAATACAAATATGTGTTTATATAGTTGTGCCAGGCTTGAACTACCTAAAAGCTAGACATGAACTTGGTCCAAAAGATATAAAAAAGGCCAACCTTTTGGCCAATGACCAACATTCAAATCATAACTCTTTTGTTGGGAAATGGAGTCACTGAAACTTCGAGGAGATCGAAGCTCTGAAGCGTGTCTGAAGACACTGTCTTTAAAACATTATTTGCCCCCACTCAATTCCATTGGGTTTGCTATTGGGTTATAGGCAAATCCGTTCCCAGGCTACAACAAAACCTTAGGTAAGAATCTGCAACCAACGAAGTTGTAGAGTCTTCGAAGAAACCTTTTTGTGAGATAGTAGCAGACCAGATTGAGAGAGAGACAAAGTGAATTTCGAAAATTGTTTGTGCAAAAGCTTGATTCACGCTCCTTAAATAAATTATGAAGAGTCATGGAATAGAGGAAGGTGCTGGTTTAGAAAAGGCTCCTTAAATAATCACAATTTTTGTTAAAAGGTAGTTAACAGTTAATGATCGTTAACTTTGAATGATGCCTCTTGATCAAACTTGATTGAATCGTGGCCGTTGATTACATCAACGATCAACCTTGTACCAAAAGTCAAAGCCACCATTCACAAATCACACAGGTACAAACAAAATACACCTCTAAATCGCCTCATTGCACTACATGGCTAAGTAGGTTTCAACCATCGTTATCATGGCATATTCTTATCTTTAACCCAAGCTCTACAAATTGGTCTATAGGACTAGGCCCTTACACTACAATATAATTCAGTTAAGGTCCAAGCTAATGTCAAACTCAACTAAGCCATTTTATAGCAATATGAGATGGGCTACAAGAATGCCGTTCCATTATTTTACCTTTTTTGAGCAAGAGATCACTTTTTGTACAGTAGTCCTTTAATATTACTCGGTATTCTCTTAGTTTATTTATAAATGTCATTTATCTAGTTGCTTGCATGCTTTGATGGTAGTCTAGTTTTCATCTTTTGTTGTGGCTACCCAAAAAAAACAAAATGCATTGAGAATTGAGAGAGCCGAAGTTTTAAAATATAGACAGACAACTTCTGCCATTTCAGAGATAAGAATTGAGTACCGTGTTCAGAATTTTTCTAAATTATAGAGATCTGGTGGAGCTTTTTTAATAAAACAATGCAGTCATTAAGGTCATTAATTCTTCATCTAAGCTGAATTGTTTATAGAGAATCCAGTTTAGAGGGTGTGTACTTAACTACTTATATCAGACCATTGGTTTTATTGATCTAAAACTTGTGCACCCTAAAGAAATTAAGAAACAAGTAAAGAGCTGATACTTATTGTGGATCGGCATACAGCAAGATTACAGTCGTCCTTGCATATATTCATACATCTAAATTGTTCATGCATGCCCCGAGTAAAGCATATCAACATTTCCTTGTCTCACCCACCAAATTCCAATTTCATCCCATATTCCACCATTACGGTAGGCCTGTAGCTACCAAGTACACAATATTTGATTAAAGAAAAAGGGGGAAAAAGAGAACAAAACCCAGAGAGAATTAAAATTTAAACTCAAAATACTCTTGGCTTTGCGACAATGGTAGAGTGCTTCAGTATGTGCAAGCTGAACTGCCCGCCCTTCTCCGTGGTATCTAGCTTCGACTGACCTGGAGGTGGCAGGAGCTCGAAATTCTGAACCAGACGGCCCAATGTGATGCCGAGGATGGGCAGCGCCAGTATAATTCCCGGGCAGCTCCTCCGGCCAACACCGAACGGGAGGTACCGGAAGTCATTGCCGTTGGCCTCCACCTTGGATTCCTCCTCCAGGAACCTCTCGGGACGGAACTCCTCTGGGTTCTTCCATTGCGCTGGGTTGTTGGCAAGCCACCAAGCGTTAACGAGGATCTTGCTCTCGGCAGGAATGTCGTAGCCACCGAGCTTGGCATCGTGGAGGTTCATGTGTGGGACCAATAGTGGAATCGCCATACGTAGCCGCAGAGTCTCCTTGATCACTGCCTGCAGGTATGGGAGCTTATAGGTGTCGGGCTCCGTGATTTGCACACCGGGTCCTAGCACCGTGTCGAGCTCGTCCCGGAGCTTCTTCTGGATCTCAGGGTGGTTCACGAGCTCCGCTATGCCCCACTCGATCGACCACAATGTCGTCTCGATCGCTGCTTGCAACAGGCACAAAATTCCGGCCGCGAATTAGTTAGTTTTCAATTCTAACGGTAAGGGCATTTTCGTCACTCTAAAAGTAGAAAGGAAATTTTTGTCATTTTACTGGGAGGCAGGTATTATTATTATTATTTTTATTATTTCGCTTCTAATTAAGGTAAATGGTGACAAAGAACATCAAGCTTCTGGAGGTGGGTGGTAGGTGGTACTCACCGGCGACGTTGATGTTTTCGACGATGTAAAGAACGTTGTCTTCGTTTATCTCTCCCTTCTGTTGGGCGTCGAGGATGTGATCTATGGCGCATTTTAGCCCAGTGTTGTCGGTGGGTTTCGTGCTTGCGAGCTTCCTGTAGTAACAACAAGGTGAAAACACAAATTGGAAGGGGTTATTAGTGTCAATTCTCATTGACCATCTAAACGAAGATTGATTGAGAAAAACTGACAAAATCCTCCCGCCGTCTTCGTTGAAGGAGATACCGGCGTTCACGGATCAACAATGATCCTAATAAACACAAGAAATATTTGCCTAGGACTTTAGGCTGTGTTTGGTTATTTAAAACGAAAAGAAAAAGCTGTTTGTAATATCTACAAGGGAAAATCCAGGCTGCCGGAAAAACATGATACTGGAAGGAGTGAAGGACTTTGACCAATCAAAACCTTGGTATCATTGTCAAAACCCAATTTACAAATTACAAATGACTTCCCCTCAACTTTCTTTTTCTCTCTCATTTTCTATCTAACCAAACATACCTAGAAAAGAGAAAATCAAACCCCGGCCCGGTTCCCTCAAAAAATGGAAGCACCAGCTAAAGGAATTTACAGTTTCACCGATTTAAAAGAACAGAGGGAAAAACAACTATTTATTTTTTTTCTTTCTTTTATTTTTCCGATGGAAAAGAAAATTTAATAAAAGAAGAAGAAGAAGAAGGAGCGCACTTACTTTCTCTCCTCTAGGAAATAGTCCTTGAAGAGCTGCAACCTCCTCTCTTTAACCTCCTTGCAAATCTTCAAGTATCCTCTCAAGAAGGGTCTCAAGATAGGAATAAAATCTCCGTAGTTGTATTCGAAGCTCTGAGCCAACCTACTCCTCTCACCATTCAACGCTCTGAGCTTAACAAACAACGGGTCATTCTCACTTTCAAACCTTCTGTCGAACATGATCCGGTACATGTTGTTGTACATCATGAGCTGCAACCGCTTCCTCAAGACGATCCCTTTAGTTGCGGCCTCGGGATTGTTCTTCACATCCTCCACCACCCGAGCGGCCTCATCCTCCCAACCGTACCGGTACTGCTGAACCACCTTGTTGGTGAAGAAAGGGACGGTCATGATCCGTCTCATCTTTCGCCAGTGCTCGCCGTAGACGGTGAACACCATGTCTTGGCCCTTCCCCGTGAAGATATCGAAGACCACATTCCGGGTCCGTGAACCGAACTCAACCCCTTGAGTGTGTAGGACTTCTTTGGCGAGGTCCGGTGAGGAGACAACGACGAGGTTGCGTTGGCCCATGCGAAGCAATAAGATGTCACCGAACTTCTTGGCTAAGTCGGTCAGATTGCGGTGGTTCAGGTCATCCCCGACTTGGAGCCAGTTGCCGAAGACCGGGACGGGCAGGGGACCTGGAGGGAGCTTGAAGCGCTTTCCGCGCAGTTTAGAGATGGTGATAGCTAGGACGATGGCGAAGAAGAGAGCTACGAGGGCTTTCTCCAAGAGGAGAAGATCCATCGTTGCAGAGGCGTCTGGTGTTCAGGAAGAGGTGGCCCTGAGGTGGGGAAGTTGGGGTGGGTCGAGTTTTATAGGTGAGAGGGCCGGAATTGAATGGCTATAATGGTGACGGAAAACGTTAAGTGCGTTTCTCGAGCGTGTGGGGAAGGTGGATATGGTTGACGGAGTTAGAAATAACGGTGGTTCTTGGAGTGGTAGGAGAAAATGGAGAGTGACGCTGGAGTGGCATGGTGGTAGGTAGGGGAATTGGTTGGTGAAATGAAACGTTCAAATGAAATGGGGGAGGGACTAGGTGTAGGTGGAGAGAGAGAGAGCATTCGCTGCGGAAATGATATAAGCAATGCGTGGCATTTTCAATAATAAATGGCTACTGAAAAAAGAATCGGGATCTGTTTCTTAAAATGCGCGTCTCACACCGATCTCACAACATATTCTGACCGCACATCCATAACATCTCTCGTTCTTTGAATTTATTATTCATGAGAAGATGTTCCAATACAAGATGGAATGTGGCTGTATAACATCTCCCGTTTCTTTGAATTTATTATTCATGAGAAGATGTTCCCAATACAAGATAGAATGTGGCTGTAAGGTAGGTGTGCTGCGTGAGGAACAGATCTCAATTCATGAAATAATAGAGATAAAATAAATTAAATAAAAAACATAGGAAGTATATGATGTTCCGCACCCAAAGACGATCTGTATGGGTAAGGACCAAACGGAAGAAATTGTAAGGATTGAAGTATTTTTTTTTTTTGTGCTCATGGGACTACACAAATAGGGGTAATCCATCCCCTTTCCCTTAACCCTCTCAATTCCTGGTGGCAGCAGGATTTGATCCTAAATCTCTACTCCAACGAATCAAAAAACCTACCAACTGAACCACCATCAGTTGGTTAAGGATTGGAGTTGGATCCCCCACTTCTACCCTCAAATAATGTTGGATCAGATCGGATGCTGGATTGCTGTAAGTGCGCGTGGAACCTTGGAACTAAGGCTGGGTATTGTCAACTATTTGATCCGAGGCCCGAGGAAACCGATCCAATTTGTTTGTGTGGCAGCTATACAATCCAGGCTGGGCTCCTCTGTCATCGTGGGCCTCATGGTAAAGGACGCTTTAGGTCATTTATTAAACTCTTCATGGGTGTAGTCAAAGGTGTGCCATCTACCGCTCTAATTCAGAAAATAAGATGGTTGATGGATCTAGGCTTGATTCGGGAATCTTCTTACTTCATGGATGATCAGTTTGTTTTAAGTGCCCTCAGTATTCCTATCAAACAAGTTAAGAGGATTAAAGTTTGGTGGATGCATTGACACCCTATAGATACATTTAAGTTGAATATTGATGGGAATTGTTATGGTAACCCGGTTTTTTAAGTGGAGATGGAGTTGTGAGAGATGGCATTGGTGCCTGATGCAGCGTGATCTGGGCATTTCTAACTGGCAGACGTCTGGCTTCTAACTAGCGACAGACGATACTTGAGAAGAGGAAGGTGAAGGATTTCCGGGGGGCTTGTCCGGTGGGAATATTTCGATGCTTAAATTAGAACTCTGAGAGAGCTGTAAGAAATGCAAAGAGAGCTAAGAGTGCAGATAGCACTAGATCAGTTCAATTTTTTCCTCGCCCTTTGGAAACCGGGGCCTTTAAATACAGATGTTCTTGTCAAATCGGGCATAACCGCCACTGGCTCTCTGTCGCAGCCGTTATTTGCCAGGGCTGTGCAGGTAATCGCTGTAGAGTACTGCCCAATCAGATGAGAGACACGACTCGAAAAAGACAGACACGCCGCCACCTATCGAGAGACTTGGGTGTAGTCCGCTGGGCTGGCAGGGACTGCACCGTCAGTCAAGAGAAGTGGTGCAATCTGACGGGTACAGTCTTGTCAGATAAGAAGCTTCCCGAAAACGCCGCGTCGCTCAATAGCGAGCTGCCTTGTAGCGAGCTCCTAGAGGTACCCCGAGGTGATTTCGTCTGAGGTTGCCTTTGAGGCGGTCCTCTTGCCTAAGTATTGTAGCGAGTTGATTGTTCGAGCTCGCGAGGTGGGATAGACTTAGCTTGGAGTGTTCCCTTTCAGCATACTGGGGTCCTTGAGCTTGTGTTGTAGCGAGTTCGTTCTGTGGCGAGCTATAATGTAGCGAGCTGACCTGCGAGGACTTTAACGAGCTCGTTACTCAGTTGTAGCCAGGCTGTCACACTGAGGTGTTACTTATGTTGAGTCACGTCTACGTGTCGCCTTCTTAAGAGGTCGGGTCAAATCACCCTCCATCAATGCCTTTTGTTTTGGTTTTCTCAGCTTCTATGGTAAGGATTTTTGCTGCTTGTTGAGGTATTGGCTCTAAGAGATAGTTTGCAGATTTGTTTCAATCAAAGCATTTATGGAAGTTGAGAACTGGATAATGGTAATAAGATATTGATTGATATCCTCAAGAAGGTAGCTATACCATGAAAGATCATACAATTTTGATGACATGGCAATTGTTTTTGTTTTTAAAAGCAAAATCGATCATGTTGTGGAACATTAATTCTGCTAAAAAGAATGGAATTTGGATTGGTTGAACGCTTTAAATGTATAGCATGCTGTGCAACGAATAATAGCACTCCACACGGGTTTCAATGAATTGATTTTGGACTGAACCCCATCCAGTCCAGAATCAATTTAGACGGATTGGACGGACCAACAAGACATATTGGATTGGATCAGTGCAATCCAAAATATTTATTAGATTGGATTGGACCTGGTCTGTACATAATAAATTTATATTGGATTGGGTTGGATTAAACCAATATCTGATCCATTGATATAAGATAAGAATATAGGTGTCAATGAACCGGGATTGGGTTGAAACCAATCTAAATTAAAACAAATTTGAACAGATTGACGATCTAGACATTGAATTGGATTGGTCCAAAATATTCATTGAATTGGATTGGACCTGGTCCATTTGTAATAGACTCACATTGGACTGCATCGGATTGGATCAAATGTAATCCAATTGACACCCCCATCACTCCACACCAGTGATAAAATACATGGGCCCATATCAAAAGGTTGAATGATTGTAAACTCCATGTATTTTATGACTGGTGTGGAACACTATTATTGGATTCACAGCCTACTGAACAACTAAAGTGTTTAGCTAATCCTCATGAAAAAGAATGGGTTCTGGTATGTTTTCAAAATTCTATCACACTTGAAGAAAACCATGTTGTGAATTGCTTGGTTAATAGAGGTATTGATCATAAAAAAATGCTCACTTATACCTCAATGCATCAAATTCATAGTGGTTGCATTGCAGAAGTTTGTTAGATAAGACTACCAACAACTTCTCATTATACTTAATAACCCTAGGTCCGTTTGGCTCGTAGTTGGAATTGGAATCGGAATTGAAATGGTCCATTCCCATCGTCTGTTTGGTTCAGATAGGAATGAGAATGGGAATTAAAATTAGTAGGAATGGGATTTCATTCTCAAGAGAGGGGTAAGAAATGGTCATTCCCTCTCAACTGGGGGAATGCCATTCCAACAGAAATGGGAATAGGATTCTAATTCCATCCAACCAAACAGTTGGATTCTGATTCCAAACCCCTATTCCTGCAAACCAAACGGATCCCTATATATTATCTTGTTTTTATTATATTTGGATTTGGTTGAGGTGAGGTGAGGTTGTGTGCTTTGTATTGAGTTTTAGGGTAGAGTGGGCTAGGGTATAGTTGAGTTAAGTCGAGTGGAGAACCAAGTTTCTCAATCTCGAGCTCGACTCGAAACCACATAGCTCAAAACTCAAATCGAACTCAACAGTCAACACTCGTGAGCTATTTGAGCTCAGTTCAACTTGAGCCGATTATACATAAATTAGTATTAAAAAATTAATGTTTATTTATACGATTCAAACTCTATAAATTCGAGCGGAACCCAAATAGCTCGCGAATAGGCTTGTGAGCCTTTCAAGTCGGGTATTAGGAAGCTCGAATTCGATTCCACCAATTACAATTACTCGATTCAAGTTGAACTCGACTCGAACTCGATTACTTTTAGCCGAACCCAAATAACTCAAGAATAGCTTGATTCGTTTACACCCCTAAAGCAGGTTATGTCTTTTCATGCGGTAATGGTTAACTAATAACGTTAGGGTGGGGTGCCCCTCTATTGGAAATAAAGTTAAAGTTAGGGGTCTTTAAATAATAAAAATAAAAACAAAAACATATTTTGACGGGTAGGATGAGAAAGCATTCCAACCGGCATATTCGCACCGTTTTGATAATCAGATCATAGAAAATTTGAAAAATGCAAAAATAAAGGCAACGAATGCACGTGATGAGTGAAGGTACAACCAACAAAGTGATAACTGATAAGGTCTAAGGGGGGAGTTCCAATCCTCTACGGTCTACAGTTCCTGTAGAGGAGTCGAACTGAACTAACGGTCCATTGAAAGAGTAGAGAGGTCTTGTTTTCACTATTAAATCCTGTCTCTATCATATATTAATATTTCATAGGCACACCCTGGTGACAGAGAACTAGTGAACTACTACTCCTACCAAGTCCGGGAATCCGGCTCCAAGCACCAGGCTCCAGGCTCCAGGCTCCAGCAGTAATCTTCGCAACTCGGGTTGTTGGCTTGTCGCTTTGTGAGTTTGGACGTCCAGGATTAGTTCTTTGATTTCATTCTACCCTTTGACGTTTTCAACTAGCATAGACTTTGTTGCAATAATCAATAATAAATTCCCTTAGTTGATGTGTTCAAATTACCCAAAAAATTAGGAGGTAAAAGATTAAACTATGACCTCATTCCAACTTGTTTTTTAATCTAATGTATCATCCTGACTCACCTTCAAGCATATATGGAGGGTAATTAAATATTGTATTTTATTATATATCATAAAATCCGAGATCCCCCTTCTCCGTTTTTGTGAAAGAAAAGAAATTAATTTATTAATGGCCGTAGAAGGTGGTAACTGGTAGGTATCCATCTATATAAATTTCATCAGGTACGTCTTGTGTAGACTTTTATGCTATTGGATGAAGATCAATCCACCACTCTCTGTGATTCCTTCTTCCTAATTAC